AAAAAATAAGAAAAATACCAGCTTTTTTGATACCAGTTTTAAATATCCAATACTTTAAGTGATAGTTTTTCTAGTCTTTGCAGTAAAAATAATTATTGAACTTAGAATACTATCTAGAATAACTCTGAGTTTTTGAGCTTCACTTATTAAAATTGAGAAAAAGCATGTATTTTAGAATAATGACATGTAGAGTACTTGTTTCTTCACAGAACACAATTCCTTATTCAACAGAACTCTGTAATATAGAATCTCTGGGCTGGGGATTTAGCTCAGTGGTGCCGCACCTGACTCTCAAGTGCAAGGTCCTGAGTTCAATCCCTGGTACTGGAGGAAAAAAAAGTCTACTAATTATATATATAATTAATGTACATTAATCAATATATAATTAATTATATTAATTAATCTTATAATACACACACACACACTCCCCATCCTATTTATGAAAGAAATCCTGAGAGGGCACTGACATGCTTTATTTTCCTTCATGGTAGTAAAATCTGAAGTTTGTGTTAGACACTTAGTTTCAACTAAGGCTCAATGCAAAGAATTCTTTATAACTTCCTACAGATTCATTCTTCACTAAGAAGAGAGCTTGAGCCCAACCAGTCCAAAGCTCTGTGATCTCAGACTCCACTGCAAAATCCAAAGCTCTCAGAATGAGGTGGGTGTGAAGAGTTCTTGATCTACCCCTGCCCTGGTGGGAAAGGGAAGCTTTCAGAGATGCAATGGCTCGTGTGTTGTGTTCTAAGCCAGCGTTCTCCTCACTGGTTGGCCAGTCTACGTTATGAAGGACACGTGGTGGTAGAAGTAACTAAAGATTAGGGATAATCCAAAATTGAAGCTTCAAAAGGAAAGAAGTTGCCTTAGCAAGAGACAGGAGAGCATCCAATTTCCTCAACAGAGAACACTTATGTAGGGCAAGAACAAAAGATTGTACTGTGCTTTCTGGCAGGGGTTTTAGTTGCCAGCAGGACTTGAAAAGGCAAAAGGAAAATGGCCCCGTTTGGCTGGCAAAGCCCTAGAAACAATTAACTAGTGACTGACTTAATCACTGATCCTGCTCATGACTGAACAACAACTGACTGCCTTTGCCCGTCACTGAAGGAGGCCACCTTGTCCAGCACTGCCCTCTCAGGGACAGCTGCATCTGGTGACTGACTGATGTGGGGTACAGAGATCTGTCCCCAGCTTACAACGCTGCAGAGCCCGGAGTTCACTTCGATCCACTCAGATCTCTTCTGTGGCTGCGCCTAGATTCACCTTCTCCCTCCGCCCAGACCAGTTCTGTTTTCTGCCTCAGGTGTTTCTCCTGACAATCTTTCCCAATCATCTTTCCTTATGCAAATCCGCCCCTGGGGGACACTATGGCCACAAACAGTTTAGCACAAGCATTTCCACTCCACAGATTTCAGCTACCCAAAGCAGCTCTTCCACTGAGTGAGCTGTGCTCTGGCTGAGCTATTTCTGCTGAGTCCGTGAGAGGGGATGGCCTCTCACGTGTCTCCACAATCAGGATGTTTCTTTGGCTCGGAAATCACCGACACCACTGAAGATGGTTTCTCAGCCCCTCTCACACCCAAAGCTTTCACAGTGACCATCAAATCCCCAAGAGAATGCAGTTCTCAAAGGAAAAACACGATAAATTCAGAGACTGGAAGAGCTACAACATGAGCCACAGCCAGTACTTTGTAGAGATATTGTAGCAAAACAAAAGGTTTCCTTAGTAATCAACACATAAAGACGCAGTAGTTAATTCAGTAGTTAATTATTATAGTAATGACCTAACTGGTGTTTATCATGTACTATACTTTCACCAATTTGATCTAATGTAATCTTCAAAACAGCCTGTAGTGTACCACTATTAGCAGCTCAATTTGACAAAGTAATATAGAGACACTAACAAATTGCTCCCGGCACAGTTAACAAGAGAGGGAGCCAAAAATGTAAAGCAAGCAGTCTGATTTAAGACGCCAAAGATCTGAACTCTACCTTTAAATCACCGATTCATGCTGCTCTCAGAGAACTATACTCTTAGTTATTTATGGACAAAACAACACACAGAGCTAATGGTAATGTTCCCACATAAGAGATGAATCTCGTCAAGCCACCAGAGGGAATTCAGGACCTAAAAGAGAAGGTCCTCTGTGAGTCCTGGTGAAACATTGTCATCAGTCTCTTATAGAAAGGAGTTCGGGCTGTCTGCACTGGTCTGGAGGCAGCTCATTATGCTGTGGTTACAGGGGAGCCAAGAGTTACCACACATTCATGCCCAGCCATTCACAGCAATCTCTCTAGCTGTTTACACTGGCTATCTGGATAAAGAATTTCTTTAATTGTATTACCACATACATATCTGAAAAGGTTTCATCTCATCTAACCAAAATAATGAGGTTATACTGAAGGAAGGAGACCTGAAAGAGCACTCTTACCCTAAATAAGACTTACAGAGGTTTGTGGTTTGGTCAGTGATAGGCTGTGAGGTTCTGCCAGTCCCCTTCTCACTAAAGAGAACTTACGATATGGCTACAGAATTATGTCCTTTGCAGGTAAATGGACAGAACTAGAGATCATCATGTTGACCAAAATAAGCCAGAGTCAGAAGGACCATTACGTGCTTTCTCTCATATGTGGAATCCAAAAACGAAAATGGTATGGAAGTAGAATGTAGACTAGTTAGAGAGGAAGAAGCAGATATGGGGACCACTAGGGAGAAGGATAATATGGAGGGTGAAAAACCAAGATTCTTACTGAAGTTATTGAGGTGAAATGGAGTCGCTATACTCCACTAAGTCCAGCAGCAGGTTACAAAACAGCATGATGTGGCACCAAATTTTATTCTTAAAGTCCAATCATGTATTAGATTCATCAATAAATTCTCTAGAATGGTGTTCACTTAACCACATTAACCTGTCTTTGTGAGGGAGATGTGGAGCTTATTTTCTTTTTGTTTAAGAGAAACTTTTGACTTGGGCAATAATAAAAATGTTTCTCAGGGGAAGAAATTAAGCATTGCTCCAAGCCTGGGAGTGATGAGTATATTAATCAGCTTAACTGCAATTATCATTTCACAATATTTCAAAACATAATGCATACACCTTAAGCATATTATCAGTTGTACTCAACTAAAATGGAAAAATAAATAGATAAAATGGTGCCGGAGGAAGCTTTAAAGAAAAGAAGAGGTGGAACAGGAGGAAGAAGGAACTCAGAAAGAGTCCCATTTACCCATCCTGAATTCTGAGGAGAACCGCGCATATCAGGGAGAGCTAGCCACACCAACCACTGTAAATGTTAAGTCTGACACCAATTAGCCTCCAGCAAGAGCACATACATTATATGAGGGCTTAAAAGTTTAAAGATTTTTCAAATTTCTGCTCCACGTTTGCAGTTTTATGTGTGGAATTATCATCCAATTATACCTCATAATCAAGAAAGGCTTTGTTCTTTATCGAATCTACAGAAGGAAATGTAATAAAACATTGCCCAAGTGTGCACGTGGGGTAACTTTTAAGTAAATGCATGCTGGAATTAACCTAAGAAAGGAGATTTTGTTTCATGGTCTTGAAGGAAGTTACAGAGTGCCAGCGCCTGGAATCAGGATTCCAGGTCCAGGTCCTTGCTGGGATTCAGACCAGGTGCTGACGCGGACCCCTCCTGGGTCTGCCTCTTTCACTCTGGCTGCAGCGCACACAGAAGGGAAGATTAGATAACGAGTCTCCCTGCGATCAAAGCCCAAACTTTGATCTCAGGAGTTGTGTTATCTGGTATGTTTTAGGAGCCATGATCTTAAAGAAAAAAAAAAAGTTGCCAATGAATTAATAATGGCCTGAGACTCGACACGCTGCAGCGATTTTCACTGCAGTGGTTGTTTCTTTTATAGTCACACTTGATTAGTATTTGAAAAGTGGAGGAATTGCTGTACGCATGGTTTTTAAAGCCCTTTACAGAATTTCATTTTTATCACTCAGAGAGAGTCAATGAACAGGTAATAAGAAAAGCTCCCTGGGATATTTTTGTAGGAGTGTCAGAAGCCGGTAAGCCAACTACATGACAGAACTGAGATTGTACAGGCAGGGTCTGGAGCAGAAACACTTCAGAGACTTTATATCTAGTATTTTGACTTTTCCCTGTCCTTGGAGAAAGAGTGTGCTAGCTACAAAACCAAGTAAGGAAAGGAAAGGAACAAACCATATGCTTAAGAATAATTACAATTTTCATACACACTCAAGGTGAAGTTTCAAAGGTAAAGCTTAATAGAAACTGAAATGGTTTGTTGTGTCTGAAATATTGCTGAAAAAGAAAATTCTTGTTTCCCTTGCTAACTCATCCCAGATTTCCACCGTATGGGAGTCAGTCCAGGCACCTAATGTGAATGCTATCAAGGCCTTCACAGTTTCGCTCAGTGAGGATGAAAAATATCAGATCATCCTCACTGTGAGCCATCATGATTCAAGCCTGCATTTGATCACTCATCTGATGCTTTTGAAATTAAAAAAAAATCTCAATTATTTAAACATCTTTCTCTCTCTTTTATTTTTGAGAGAGGGTCTCTCTGTGTAGTTCAGGCCAGCCTTGAACTCACAGTAATCTGATCCTCCTGCCTCAGCCTGCAGAGTGCTGGAATGACAGGCATGCAGTGCATCACTGTGTTCAGCTAACCCTCTCCTTAAGCCATAACTCCTTCTTGTTTATTCTTTTAGCAAGACTATCAGAATATATTATAATGACAATACAGTCACTCTCTATGGGAAACAGTAATGTGGCCACAGAAACCATAAATGAGGGGAAATTTTTAATAATGCAAAACCATGGGCTCCCTTCTCGTTACTGGAGTGCTGAACGTCACGGTGCTCTTGACTTCACTTCAGTGAGGTGTGCAGGGGTGACAGGCACTTGGCCGGAGCCACACGTCCCAGCTAATGGTTAGGAAGAGCCTGCGTGCTGCGCCTCTGCCAAGGAAGCCCTGAAGCCCGCTCTGCGGCTGGGTGGGCTGTACTCACACTGGGCCGGCAGCCTCGGGGCTCTGCGCTTGCTCCTGTCTCTCGCGGTGTCAGGCACATCATCCTGACAGCCATCAGGGGCTCTTGGTTCCAGGTCAGCTCGGCGCGAGAGTGGCTTCTTGGCCGCGTCTCCTCTGTGACTCTGAAATGACACAGGCCAGATCAGTGGGTCTCAGAGCTAAGGGACCATCCAGAACAAACGCTTCCCAGACGCAGCAAGTCACGTCTGGGTGTCTGACAGAACACTCTACAAGCCAAAACAGGCTACAGATCACATCTTCCGCGGTGAATTCTGGTAATCTGCTGTGGAGTTTTCTAGGTAATCTAAGTGGCTAGAATAAGAAGCTGCTTTTAGATGTAAACTCATCTTCAAAGACATAAATGTTGGCAATATTTTAATGTACATTACTTTCTTTTTTAGATCCCTTTGTATTTTTTTGTTTTTGTTGTTCCAGGGATTGAACTCGGGAACCTTACACTTTCGAGGCAGGCAGTGGAACCACTGAGCCAAACCCCTGGCCCTTACTTTCTTTGTTGAGGGCTATAAAATTAGTTTTCACTTAGAACAGTCTTACACAGTTTTTATCCCTATGGTTAAATAATCTCAGATTTTCATTATATATTAAATAATCACATTGTTAAAATGAAGACAAGGTGCCACTGTGCATTTTTCTATACTCTTTATACCAGTCACATCATAACACCTACTCCAAATTTATGCACATTTTTATCAGCATTATGCAAGTTGGACAAAGCTTTTTTAGTCTATTTAAGAATAATAATTCATTGTAACAATAAATTATTAAGCTAGAGCATCTATAACTTGTCTCCTATAAGAGGCATCATATTTTGGACATCATACTGACACACTGTACACTTCAAAGAATCACCAATCAGGGCACGGTGGCGCGTGTCTGTCTCTGGGAGACGGGGGCGGGGAGTCACAAGTTCACACCTAGCCTGAGCAACTTAGGAATTTATTGAGCCCGTTTACCAAAGTAAAATACAGGAAAAGGGATAGGGATATAGCTCAGTTAGAAGACCCTGGGTTCAACCCCTAATAGCACAAAAAATTAAGAAAAAATATTGTTAGAGAAGAGCCTAATTAGAAAGATCTAACTAGGAAATTGAACGTCAGCACTTCATTTCAAATCCAAACTCAAACTAGAAATTTATCATTTTTTGTGATTGCAAAATATTTGAAAATTTATTGTCAAAACTAGCCAGTCAATTTTGGCTCTTCACACTGACCACCGTGATTCCCCAGAGGAGAGGATAATGAGCACCTTTCCGTCAGATTCCCTTCCACAGACTTATTATAGCATTAAATTCATTAAGAGCTTGATCTTATGGAATCAAAGGCTTTCACAGCTTGGGAAGGGCAGAGTCGGTGTGATTAAATAATTCCCGCGCTGAGGGGATGAGCAGGGTCCAGTCTGGAGCTGCTTTCCTCCTCCCCGTGACTCACGCTCCGGCTTGCAGTGGGTTCTACCCATGCTGCGCTCGCGCTGTCGTGAGACCCCGAGGGGAGCTCAGATCTGGGTGGAGAGGCCGAGGGAGAACAGCAGAAATGGTTACCCGTGGAGAGGAAGCCGAAGCAACCAGTGACTGGAAGAGCCCGGATTGAGGGGAGCAAGTCCTGGTCACCGGAAACCAACGCAGTTCAGCTAAACGCCAGCACGGAACCGAAGTAGGTGAGACCGAAGCTGGATGCTGAAGGGTTTTCCTCCAGGACACGCAGTACTGTGTGGCCATAGAAACCGGCACCCTGAGAATCCCACATAGTGAGTGTGTTGAGTCAGTACCGACCTATGACCGACTCAGACACTAAGTTGTTCAAGTTGTCTAAGCTGAGAACTGAACTAGAAAAGGGTAGGTCGATTATAGATAATTATCAAGGTCTCTTTTCTTTCCCTTCCCTTCTTTCTTTCCCTTTCTTCCGTTCTCCATTCTCTTACATCCCCTCTTCTCTCTCTCTCTGAAGTAAGGTCTCACTGTGTAGTTAGTTCAGCATGGATTGAACTCACTATTTAACCCAGACTGACCTCAAACTCACAGCCATCCTCCTGCCTCAGCCTTCCAAGTGCTGGGATTACAGGCCTGTGCTACTACACTCGCTTGTTCTTTCTTTTCTTTCCTTCTTTCTTCTTCTTTGTTATATTGGAGACTGAATCCGGGGCTCTTTCCCACTGACCTACATTCCCAGCCTTTTTATTTTTTACTTTCCTTGTTAAATTGCCAAGTTGCCAAGACTGGCTCAAACTTGCTAGCCTCCTGTCTCAGCCTCCCAGAGTGCTGGGATTACAGGTATGTGTCACCACCCCTGGATCCAGATTCATTTTATAATGACAAATGGTGGGATCCGGATACTCCATCAGGGACAGTTCAAAAGTTTGGTGCTTGAGGATTGATATTAGCTAGAACTAAGCCATCACACTTGTTAACATTTGATTCAGTCAAAATCCAAATATCATGAGTCCACCACACAGCATACGTTTTTAGATTTACTATCAGGCCAATTTCATCACATAGCTTTTGGAAAGAAACAAGTTCAACCATCATATAAGAAATTAACTGTTTTTAAATTAGACATCTTTGCCACATATACTAATTTCAAGTTATCAGATTGATATTAAATCATAGTTTCTCAGGATTGAGCAATAAACCAGACGAAAGAAGGGATGTAGCATTATGATTTTTTTCTTCCCAGATTCAATTTTAAAATTAAATTATTTAAAATGTTTAGGGAAAAATCTAACTGTTCATGTGATCCATGTGTGTCATGAAATACTCCGCAATGCAGTGAAGAAGTACTGAATGAAAAAAGAAAAAAACTTAACCTGAAACCTTGGCCATGAAAGCTTATGGGGGGAGAAATACCACTTGATCAGAAGAGGTCCGTGGTTACAGTCTCTATTCCTGGTGCCAGCCGCTGGCACAGTGGGCATTGTCGGAGCCCGTTAGTCTTCAGACATGAAGAACTCACATGGCCGGAAGCCATCCTGCAGCGGAGTCTCCAGTTCAGCTCCGTCAGATTTTCCAGCCTCTCCTTCGCTTGGTTACAGCCTGCCTCCTTTTTCCCATCTCTGAAGTTA